ACTTAGAGTGGCAAAAGAAATTCCTATGTCAAGGGTCAGTGGCTGCCAGGGTGCAGCACTGGGGAAAAGAAGAGTCACTTTCAGATGTCAAGTTAATGAGTGTAGAGGGTGCAGATTCTACATTTAGATAGGTACCTTAGCATTTTCTGTTGGCACGTGCCTGTGATTGATTCATCCTTCCTACTCCAGGCAGAGGAAACCAGGAGCAAATAAGGGTGAAAAGGACATGATGAATACATTTTTTCAGACTTGTCTCTCCTAAAGACTCTGTTACATGTTTTCATCAATCCTTATGTAAGGAGGCTTTGAGGAGGGATTAGTTTTAGGGAAAAGGCTGTGTTGCCATTCAGCGAGACCTGGATAGGCTGGAGAGCTGGGCAGAAAAAAACCGGATGAGGTTTAACAAAAGCAAGTGTAGAGTCTTGCATCTGGGGAGGAATAATTCCATGCACCAGTACAGGTTGGGGGATGAGCTGCTGGAGGGGAGCTCTGCGGAAAGGGACCTGGGTGTCCTGGTGGATGACAGGTTGGCCATGAGCCAGCAGTGTGCCCTTGTGGCCAAAAAGGCCAATGGCTTACTGGGGTGCATTAAAAAGAGCGTGGCCAGCAGGTCAAAGGAGGTGATCCTCCCCCTCTGCTCTGCCCTGGTAAGACCTCATCTGGAGTACTGCGTCCAGTTCTGGGCTCCCCAGTACAAAACAGACAGGGATCTCTTGGAAAGAGTCCAGCGGAGGGCCACGAAGATGGTGAAGGGCCTGGAGCATCTCCCCTATGAGGAAAGGCTGAGTGAACTGGGTCTGTTCAGCCTTGAGAAAAGGAGACTGAGAGGGGACCTGATGCAGGTCTATAAATATCTAAGGTGTGGGGGGCAGAATGGCGAGGCCGGACTCTTTTCAGTGGTGAGTGGAGACAGGACAAGGGGAAATGGCCAGAAACTGGAGCATAGGAAGTTCCGCACAAACATGCGCAAGAACTTCTTTACAGTGAGGTGACGGAGCACTGGAACAGGCTGCCCAGGGAGGTGGTGGAGTCTCCTTCTCTGGAGATGTTCAAGACCTGCCTGGATGCCTACCTGTGCGACCTGCTGTAGGGAACCTGCTTTGGCAGGGGGTTGGACTCGATGATCTCAGGAGGTCCCTTCCAACCCCTACAATTCTGTGATTCTGTGATTCTGTGAAAAGCAGATGTCACAATCCAGTAAATGGCAGATGGCATGGAAAATATATTCCAGGCAGATGTAGAACAAAGCAGCAGTGGATGACTTCTGGCCGTTCATTTTTACTTAAATGAACAAGTCTTACATAGCATGGGATGAAGGTGAGAACTAGGGCCGAGTGAGAGGTGCCCTTTGTCTCTGGGAAATGTTTGTCTCCTTTCTTTTCTGAGGCGTTAGAGTTGTTATACTGTTCCTTATGCTGGAACTGTCATTCTTCACCTTCATCTCCAAAGTCTTGCTCTAGTAAGTGAAATTCTGAATCAGCTTCTTCCTGAACACTGAACTATGTGAAAACAGGCTGTTTCTGTGCCTTGCAGTGTGGTGGCAAAGAGAGGAAGTAATCTAAGCTGATACTGGCGAACACTCCTGACAGTATTTAGGTTTGCGTTACCCAGTAAACACTGCATTAGAAGAGAAATAAACTAGGCTTCATTGAAACAAGACTACAAGGTTTTCAACACATAAAACCTAGAAGCAAAAAGAATTTCACATAGGAGGGTATTCAAAGATGAATTCTGGGAAGCTGAAAACTGCCTCATTTTAACTTCATTGGGAATCTTTCAGATCATTGCAGTCAGGCTGAACGGTGTTGTGCCTCCTGAGCCCTGGTGAAGGTGGATCCTTTTCCACCACTTGTTCTTCATCTGGAAGTGGATTCACTTCCCCAGGCTCTACGTTCTCCTCATCCACTTTCATTGACTCCTCATCAAATCTCCTTCCCATCAACTCTGGCTTGTTTAGCAGGGGAGGATCCATTGTCCTTCCTAGGTAGGTCCACCTCTCCTGTAGATTCTGCCACTGTCTTTTGCTGCTCTGCAACTGGTTTATCAGCTGCAGGGTGCCTTATATGTTTGGGGCCCAGAACAGAAGGCAGTGAAGTGGCTGAGAGAAATCTAAATAACTGCTGTGAAACTTTGCATCTACGTGGCTAACCACTATTCACTGCAAAAGAACAAGTTGGGTGTACTGTGCAGTTTTGCAATTTGTTAACTTTTATCTGCTGCAAGAGATTGCAGCAGATAGTGCTGCACATTGCTACAAGAAAAAGGAAATGAAGCACAAATCTTCTACAAGATAAGATTGCTTTACAGTACATTTTATTTCAAGTATAGTTGAGACATTATTTTCAACTTCATAGGAACCAAAAGTATTCGATCTTATTAATAAGTATGCATTATATAAAAATATGAAATTAAATATAAACTACAAATTTAAATTATAGAAGTAAATTATGTTATTATTATATACATTGTGTTGTTATATAAATGTTATGTACATGCAAGAGTTAAATTGTACTTCCTTAACTGAGACAAAATGAAAACGGGGGGAAATTTACTGATGTCAATTTTCACTATGTGGTTTAGGGACAGTCCTTTGGATTTGTCCCTGAAAGAAGCACATCAGGATTCTTGGCTGGCAGACAGAAGAGACTTAGAGTTGGTCTTGTGTCAGATGAAGCTGTGAAGTTGATCTGCATATCGTTCTTCTAGCTATAATTCCTTCTGCACCTTCACTCTTTGTTCCTACGTGTAGGAGTGAAAGGTTCATGGTGTTTGGGGAGCATCCTCGTTGGAGATCAAGGTGCATTATGTTGTTAGATAGTGAGTGCTGTCAGCTTGCGCTGCCATGCATAGGAGTTGAGATGGAATTCTGCCTTCTGCAAGAGATTTAATACGTTACAATTTAGCTTTATGAGCTAGGAATTGAAGTTTTCTGTTTCTCGACTGAGCACCCTGCAGCGTTAGTATAGCATTTACAGCTAACTGTAACTCTCAATTGCAGTTAGATATTTATTTCATGTAGTAAAGGTCATTTTTCATACCACTGTTAGCATTGGATGTAGCATTACTATGACTTTGTCCCGCTCTGTAATTTTCTAAATGCCCCAGCCAATTCATTAAAAAAAAAAAACAAAAAACATTACAGATAATTAAAAATGCAATTAAAAAAAGAGTGTCATACTGTCTTTGGGCAATGGAAGCTGCACTAATCAGAAGGAACTAGAATCTCTTTGGGTCAAGCAAGGTAGCTCAAGATATTTATTATGCTGGTTCACTGTGCAGCAGGTGATGAAAGTACAACCATGGGCCAGCATGCTAGTGCCCATCCCAGTGTTTCAGGTACAAAGGCAAACCAGGATTTTGCTGGTCCAATTGCTGAATCACTGTGACTTGAATAAGCAAGCTGCAGAAGCTTTCTGAACAGTGACTTCTTAAATGTCAGTCATACCCTACATATGTGTCAATTAGACACTGTTCTGGTGAAGTGAAATGGAGAATTTTGTGAATAAAATCTATACTCTCTCATCCTCCATTTGTAGATGTAAAGTGATAGAAATCGAACTGTGATGGTAAAATGGATGATCAGATTCACATTCTTTTCTATTCATTCTTGCAGAACATAGACAAGTGGTCTTTTGGTGTGTTTGCACCAAATTATACTGGTGGAAATCAAGCACTGAAATTCATTTTCTCTGAACTTCCCACATGCTGTGATCTGATCAGTAGTTTCAAGTTCAGTAGTTACAAGACTTCAGCTTGCACTTCATTCTTATTCTGCTTTGTTCCATTCAGTGATGATTTCAGCAGTAATTGAAGGTATATGTGAAGACTTTGCAGTCATTGTCGTTCCCCCTAAAGGGGGAAGAGAATCTTTCTGCAGCAACCAGAACCAAATGTCATTAAAGCAGGACATTAATTGTGGGGTTCCAATCCTACGAATGAAACCCTGTGGGAATAACAGTGTCATTCTCTTGAGATTCTTAGGAATATCAAGCATGCAAGCAAAAGATGAGAACTTGGCCAGCTGCAGGTTTCAGGATACAAATTCTGTGTATCTTGTACTCCAGCTTTGAACAGAGTGACATTTGGGTCACTGCAGCATTGCCCTGAGATGTTTCCCATTCTCCCCACCCAAAGATTCCATGTTCCCTTTCTCTGCTGACACTTACTGTGGCAGGACTCCTACTTTCTTCGACTCCTGCACTTCTTTATGGACTTGTCACGCCTGCTGAGAAATGGTTGAAGATGAGAACAGATTAGAACTGCATTGTCCCACACTCCAGAGGGAAACAGCTGTGCAACTTTAACGTCAGAACTAGAGAGGTTTAGGGTACAGCAGGTTGTGCCAAGCACTGAAGAATCCCTGCTGCTTGTAGCATATATGTACAGCTGCCACCACCTACATAGCATGCTCCCTAGAAATGCCCCAAGTGTGGTTTTATGTTGTGCATACAGTTGTACTCTGGGAGCCAAAAACAAGCATGGCAAACTGATAGTGTGGGAAGTCTGGCTTTGGCAGTAAAAGCCAAAAGTATGATAAACAGTACTCCTCATCAGAGAGTATCTCAGACTTTCTATATGAGGCATTTCCTTACAAACCTCTAGAATACGAGTAGTAAAGTAGTGATGTATACTAGATTGTTGTGAGAGGATGAGACAGACGTGTGTGTCCTGAATAGAAATATTCCTCCAGGAACAGCACACCAGCTACGCTCTGTTCCTTGTGGCACTGCTTGTGTTTTGCGGGCAGCATTTCACAGTGGACTGACTTGCGTATGTTTAAGTGCATGTGTGCTTCATCCATCATGTAATGAGGGGTGGGAAAGCCATTGTGAGGAAGTGAGCTTGATTCACTCTCTCTCTTGAGTACTTGTTGAAGGTGTTTACAGATGGTATTTATTTGGGAAGTGCAATCAGTACAGACTGCTCTTTGGAGCCTCTCCTCCAAATGCTAGCTATCACAGGTGATTCTTTGATTTTTAATTGTGTGCTTCTTTTCTTAGCTCCCCATTTCTGCCCTGGTGTCCTTTGTGGAAGCTCTGGAGGTTGGCTACAGCAAACACAACCTAATGCATGCTGCCGATGTGACACAAGCAGTCCATGACCTCCTTTTGAAGACAGGTGTAGTGGTAGCAGGTACAGGAGTTGGCATCGTTACTACGTACTGAAATGGCAGCAGTTTTGTTTGGTAAGGAGATGATCATTATCCACAGCAGAGCCATTTGTGCTGTAGAAACAATGTGCTTTGCAGGGGCTGTGCTAATGCAAGTAGACAGTTGGGATTCCTTGGAAGAATTTGGGTGAGGATATGGGTAACTGTTATAATTGATGGGAGAGAGGATGAGTGAAAAACGCAAGCTGAATTCTCCCCTCTGCCATCAATCTGCTGGCTGAGTCTAGCAAGTCAGTTTGTTGGGATTTCATTTCCCTTTCTGTGAAGAAACAAATTGCCTAAGCTTTCTTCAGAATGCAAAATGAAGTAATGTATTGCTTAACCCAGTTTGGCACCCCTTTTCAAGCTATTGCTCACCATTTTTGCTTGCTGTCCAGTCCTGGGCACTGTCTCTTGAGCCCACGTGGAGGTGGATCCACCTTCATGGGCTCCTGTTCCTCTGGAGATGGATCCACCTCCATGGGCTCCACTCTCCACCTCCTCCCCATGAGCTTCTTCTTTTTAAGGGGAGGAGGATCCATTTTTAAGAGGTGCTTCTCTGCCTCTTGCTGTTGGTTTGGCAGTTGGAGGGCTCGGAACACAAGGCAGTGACATCAGCAGAGTTCCATGGCAACCCAAAAATGAGAGTTTTTGGAGTTGGGGCCTATGGCCTGAGAGTTGCCCCAGTTTTGAAGGAGAAGGAAGGACCTGGAGAACTGAAGGACTCTGTCCTGGGAAGGGCTCATCTGTTGCATTGTGCTTGCCAGAGAGAATTTGTGGCACTTGGGCCAAACGCCCCGTGGAGATTCCAGCCCTTTCTTCATCCCATGCCTCCAATCCATTTGTACTGATGAGTGGCAGGGTTACACCAGGAGTGCCAGTGTTCCTGGCAGCAGCTGGCTTCCTGCAAGTGGAGGCAGCCTGTTGCCCAGCCGTAGCGAGGAGGAGACAAAGGATGCTTGCACCCACAGTCAGCCTAAGGACATGCAGTCAATAAAGAGCTGCTGAATTTCCAGGGTGATGTGAGTTTTCTTTTGTTGACCTTCACTCTTGCCCCGTAGCCTTAAGGAGGTGGCATTTCTGCTGCTCTAGTGTGAGCCTGGCATCTCCGATCCTTCCACCACTGAACACCGATGAGAGAAAAGCCAGTCCTCATTTTATTCCATGCTTCCAGTAGGCAACAGTAGTCAATACTCAAATCTCTCCTCTTCTTTCATTTTCTTAACTTTGACAGAAGGCATTTCCCTCAGTATTTCCTGAGACTCCTTGCCAGCTCTACGGTTGTGGGTTGTCTCATATGACACAAGGCACTGTATTGTTGGGTGTTGTCTTTTAGCAGGCATGTTGATGGTGTTATGTCTCCTCAGCCCTGATGGACGTGGATTCATTTCCATGTGTTGTTTTTTATCTGGAGGTGGATTCACCTTGCCTGCTCTTCAGATTTCCTCCCCGTTAGTTGCTCTGTGACTGGTGTGCCAGTAAGAGTGGAGGGTGCTTGAGGACCCTTTTTCAGGGAATGGCTCACTTATGCCTTTTTGCTTTCTGGATAGAATATCTGGACTGGCACAGAGACCTGTGCAGCTTTCAGCCCCCTTTCATCCCATGTTTGGGGTCTCCTCACCAAGATGGTGTCAAGAGTGTCCTGAGGGGTCAGATGGTCTCCACTAAAACCCAGCTGCCTGACTAACTGCAAGTGCAGTCACCCCAGTGCCTGACAGTAGTGATGAGGGGACAAAGCAAAACACTCCTTAGGTAGCAAGGGAAGCATAACCATAGAATCATAGAATATCCTGAGTTCCTTCAGCCTGCCCTGGGAAGCCGTGTGGACTCCCCGTCAGGCTCCCCTGCTGCAGCCTGAAAAGACCAAGGGACCTCAGTCACTGTTTTCCCCTCTAGATCCTCTTCCATCTTTGTAGCCCTTCATTGGACATTTGTCCTTCTAATATTCTAACATCAGCTCTGGCTACAGAAGACAGATGATGATAGTCCAGTGAAGTAGTCTCCTACATGTCTTTTCTTTGCTGATTCATTCTGAATGTCATCTTTGAACAGTGTCTAATGTAAGTCCTTACCTGGTCATCTGACTGGCTTAGTCTGAGCCCTGATGGCTTAGAATTTCTCTTTTCTTCTCATCATGGTATGCTTTTGAAGAAAGTAACTTGTTCATTTTTTCAGTTGTATTTCTTTCTTTTTTTTTTTTTTTTTTAATTTCTATGGAATATATATCTATAGTCCATATATATTATGTGTTTTGAATATTATTTTTAGTTCTGAGAATTTTTTTAGAAAACAGTTACTCTCAATTAAGTAGGCTTAAAAAAGATATTAAAGAAAGAGCCTCATACTGTGTTGACCATTGATGAACATAAACACATCTTCTAATTAATGTACAGGCACTTATTTGACTGCCTCTGTTCTTAGCAGTTTTCCTTTACTTAAAGGAACCCACAAAACAGTTCAGTACTGGGTTGCTGAGGGAAGGTGTCAGAGCAGGAGCACTCTGTTCTCTTTAAGCACCAGGATTTGTTTGCATCTGACTGACAGCTGTCTTTCTTGTGGCCCTAGCTCTTGAAGAGTGTTAGCAGTGCTAACAAGGGGAAACAAGGGAATGTTGCAGCTCATGGAGGATCCTGAGAAATCAGTGATCTAGGGCAAGTATTAGAGAGGAGTTGCAGAGTGGTAGCATGGCAGTTGAATGCTATTTCTGGTAGCATAATGGGTATGTTTCTGGTACAGCTACTGCAATCAAACAGTGACTAGTGACAGCAGACATATGAGGTGTACAACATTTTCTTCATCCCCTGTCTCTCAACTTTCAGATTCTCAGTTCAGCCCACAAAGCAAAACAAAGTGGAGGAGTCATAATAGTCCTTGCTTGGTTTCTGTTGCTAAGCAAAATATTGCCTGCTAGTCAGAGTAGGATGGTGTCTGCTGTCTGGGATGGTCTTTTTCATTATAGTGATGATACAATGGAGACTGGATGAAACATTAAAAAAGGAGAAAATGAACCAAATCCTCACGCTGGATGGTATTTGTAGAAGCAGCTCTGCTTCCCCTGAAACCAAGTCTAAATCATCCCTTAGTTTCAGTGCCTCCATTTCAAATTTGTAATTCTAATATCAAAAAGGTGTGTTAGTCATTAATATTTTATCCATTCTTATAATATCAACAGAGATAAACCCAGCTGAAGGTTTGGCAGCAAGCTGCTGAACACTGAGCCCAGCATAGGTGCATTACATTTCATTCATTAGAGCCATATTTGTTGCTTCACGTAGGATTTGTGTAAAAACTTGTACAGATTCCTTATCCACAGAAGCTTGCTCCAAGCAAGTTGCTAAACTCATTAACAGGGCAAAAGAAAGACTGTGCTCCTATAATTTCCAGTTCAGTTATTACAGAGTGCACAAAATCCTAATTCTGCTGTAGTCTAAGGAAAAACTCCCACTGGCTTAATGGGACCAAGATGGCATAAAGTTAATTTTCCAATACAATGTAGAAACCAGAAGAGTGACTTCAATGGGGCCTGGATCTCAGGAGACGAAACTCTGTTATCTCAGAGAGGCAAATGCTGTACCTTGCTGCTAGAATAAGAAGCACTGCTGCAATAGGCAGAAAAAGTTTTCAGTTTTATCAGCTGATTTCCATTACGTATGCAGAGTTCTGACCTCATGAGAACAATCTGGGTAATCATTCTTTCTTTGAGGGCAATCACATTCACCTACATTTAGGCATATAAAGCACTGGAGAATGTCTTTTTTAAAGTAATAATCATAGTGAAGAGAACACACTTGTTTTATGTGAAAAGAACAACACTGGATTGATTTCATATACGCGGGTGTTTGTGTACTCAGTATTCAAAGGTTATGTATTTCAATTATGTTAATAAAGACCAATTCATGGAGTGCCCAACTATCAAATGGCCCTTTGCCTGTAGTTTAATTAAATGCTCATTCTTTGGTGGGTTATCAGTGGTGAAACACCAGAACAATAACTGCTAGTATCAGGAAATTGGCATAGGCGGGTGAAAGCTGTTTCTCTTACAATAGTCCACCACAGAGGGCTTCTTTTTGTTCAGCATAGAGAGGAAATTATTTGTACAAAACATGATGTAAAGGCTGTTCAGATCTTTCAGCAAACAGGCTTTGAGGACAAACCAAACCTTTTTCATTACATAAGCTCATATCCACCAAATACATGAAGCACGTTTTAACCAAACGCCATGAGTTTCCAGCCTCAAGAAAGACTCCATGAAGTGGGAGAGTAGCAATGGAGTGCCTATCTTCTATTTCTCCTTTCACAGATGTTCCCATACTTGTGGTGGGAAAGCAAGATTTTGCAGGGCTGGCCTGCAGTTTCTGAGGAGCCAATTTCCTCTCCTTAGCCAGACAGGCATTTCTCTATTGGGTACAGAAGCATTTCTGAAACCTGTTCCTAACCTATGGAGAAATTTGGGAAGTCGTCTTTATCAGACAGGGTATCTGCTGTGAATCTCCTGTGAATCCTGTGTGATCTTTGGACTGTTGTTGGCTCTGTGGGCCGGCACCCATGTTGGTGCTAGGAGATCTGTATATATACGTAGCTATGCACAGGACTGCACACAACAGATGGGAAAATAGCTTCTTACTTAATTGCACTGAATCCTGCTAGCAGTCATAGTAAAAAGCAGTCAAACTGCTTTTGGTTTGAAAGGTCATGAGTTTATTCCTCCCTCTCCTGAGCCTTTTTTGTTCGTATCCACACAGACGTTACAACAGTCTTGCATAGTGCTGCGGTGTTATTCGATGTAAAAATATTTAATTTTAGCCAGAAGTGCAGGATTATTTTTTGCTAATTCGTTCTGAAAATTATTCACTTCAGACAACTTGCTCTCCCTTTTGGCAGTCCACAGGCACTGTGAAAGTGGTGTTAAATCATGCTTCCACATTTTACAAAAGGACCTAGATGAGAAAAGCCAACTGCTGCTTCCGTGTCATGCCTGGCCTAGTTATGGGCAACTTTTATTTATACTCTATCAAGATATAAATAACAATGCAATGATTGAGAACATCAGAGCTTCCTCCATGTCATAAAATTGGGAAGAGGGAATAGTTCTGTGTGGTTATTGATTTCCAGCTGCTTAATTGGTGTTTACAATAT